TTTTTTTTTTTTTTTTTAAGTTTTCAGGCTATTGTGAAGCATGTCCTAGCTGTTAGCTCACCTCTCCTAATTAAGAACTAGAAATGTCTAAAAGCAAAAAGCAAAGCCCAGGAATTCTGGAGCTTAGGAAGAAGGCCTTAGGCTAATTTAAAGCAACGTACCCCATATGTGATAGTCATTTTAAAATGGCTTTGAGGCATAATTGACATAACGATACACATTTAAATTTGGTGACTTTTGAGTGAAGCTATTACAATCAAGACCCCAAACATCTGCCTCTAAGTATCACTGCCCCCATTAAAATATTTTCCTGTCAAGGCAATCAGTGATCTTTCCGTTGCTTTACTGGTTTGTATTTTTTAGGATTTTCTGTGTGTGGATATTGAGTGGGGTCTGGCTTTTTTTGGTTTTTTTTTTTTTTGAGAGGAGTCTTAACGCTAGCCCAGGCTGGAGTGCAGTGGCATGTTCTCAGCTCACTGCAACCTCAGCCTCCCGAGTACTGGGAATACAGGTGCACACCACGACGCCCAGCTAATTTTTGTATTTTTAGTAGAGACAGGGTTTCATCATGTTGGCCAGGCTGGTCTCAAACTCCTGACCTCGTGATCCACCTGCCTCGGCCTCCCAAAGTGCTGGGATTACAGGCGTTAGCCACCGCGCCAGCCAGGTCTGGCCTTTTGAGATTAATCTGTGTTGTATGTATCAAAAATTCTGTCTTCATCCTGGAATACTATTCCGTTGTTAATCCATTTGCCTGTTGATAGACATTTGAACTGTTTCCAATTTGGAGCTGCTACAAATAAAGCTGTTCTGAAGGTTTGTGTACAAGTCTGTGTAGACAGGCTTTCTTTTCTCTAGTTAGGAGTGGAATGGCTGGATAATATCATAGGTGTATCCTGAACTGTTTTCCGAAGTGACTATTACCAGTTTACATTTTAAGCAGTAGTGTATGAGGGTTTGGTGGTTTTTCTTTCTTTTTTTTTTCTTTTTTTTTTTTGAGACGGAGTCTTGCTCTGTCGCCCAGGCTGGAGTGCAGTGGCCGGATCTCAGCTCACTGCAAGCTCCGCCTCCCGGGTTTACGCCATTCTCCTGCCTCAGCCTCCCAAGTAGCTGGGACTACAGGCGCCCGCCACCTTGCCTGGCTAGTTTTTTCTTTTGTATTTTTTAGTAGAGACGGGGTTTCACCGTGTTAGCCAAGATGGTCTCAATTTCCTGACCTCGTGATCTGCCCGTCTCGGCCTCCCAAAATGCTGGGATTACAGGCTTGAGCCACCGTGCCCGGCCGAGGGTTTGGTTTTTCTACATTGCCAAACACTTGGCACAGTCAGTCTTTAATTTTTGCCATTCCAATATATACATAGTGGTATTTCACTGTGGTTTGCATTTCTCTAATGACTAATGATGAACATCTATTCATATGCTTTTATTGGGTTGTTTAATATCAAGTTGACAGTTCTTCCTATATTCTGGATACAAGGCTTTTACCAGATACATATGCTTTATCTTGGCCAACTTTATTAAAAAAGAAAACAAGAAAATTATCTCCCAGGGTTTTAAAAACTCTGCCCTGGACCTTACCTGAGTGGATGTTACCAACTCCTGGTATATCCTGTAGTTGGAAATGGGAAAAAAAATGCTAGTTAAAGTCTAGCCATGATTAAAAAAAAAAACAAAAAAAAAAACCTAGAAAAGATAGCACACTTCAAAAGAGGTGGGTGTGACTGCTGCCACAATGCTCAATTCTGCACCCCAGCTGATGTTAAACTTTGAAAGCACAGTAAGTCATTCTTAAGACAGCCCTGTCCTTAGGAAGCTCACAGTCATAACAGTGGAGATGTCCGTAAGTAGAGTGGCTATTACGTGCCAGGTGAGCAAAACCTTGCTTTCACAGCACACATATAATTGGGGAACAGCATTAAGCACAAGTTAGGTAAATTACGTTTGCAACTTTACATGGTGCTACATCCACTTGAAATAGAGATAACCTGTTCAGATAAGCCATTTATGAAAAAGTGACATTTGAGCTAACAGTTAAAGGAAGGTAAACTTTAGGTGATAAGGGAAGGAAAGCATGTTTTAGGCAATGGCAACTGTAAAAGCCCGAAGCAACACAATCAATACAGCTGAAGTGTAGAGTAAGATCATAAGTGGTACGATGATTTTCTGTTGGTGAGGCAGGATTGAAGGGGGAGTAGAAGTTGTCCAAAGGCTGAATAGAGGCAGACAGATGTTTAAAACTGACTGCTTGTTGACAGAATATGGGAGACGGAAAAGGAAAGGATCTGCATCTAGTGATTGGAAATACAGGAGTGGCGGAGGTTAGTTTCAGATGCCTATGGGATATTTAAATATAATAGTCCTGTGTTGAGTTGGTACTATGAGTTCTACAGAGGGCAAGATTTAGGAGTTGGCACTCCTAAGTGGCAATACATGTGAATAGGATCCCTTTGGAGGGTGAGAAGAAGTCTGAGAACACTACTAGGGAACAGTGAAGTAAGAAGGAAAAGCCTGCAGTGGAGACAGCAGTGACTAGAATAGGTAGAAAATCAGAAGAGGGGTCCTGAGACCTGAGGGAGCATTGGCCCTCTTCTGGCTTGCTTATCCTTTGTACCTGATGGCCAATGAATGTCAGAGATGGTCCTGTCTCCATCCAGTCAAGCTCTGGAGCTGGTGGCAGGTCCAAGTTTGAGGGCTGCTGTGAGCTGGAAGCTACTTGGCTGAAAAACATGAGCCAGGCTGGCAGATGAGGTCCTTGAGCCATGAGGGTGGTAAAGATTAGATCTGTTTCCATTTCCCGGCCAAAAGGTTGCAGAATGTTCTAAGATGTCAAATTCCCAACAAGAGATTCTCTAACAGTCTTACCTGTTCATCCCTTTCCAGCTTCTAGGTGCTGAAGAGCCCTCTTCTGGGTCTGGCACTGCCTGAGGCTGAGTTTGATTCAGGAAAAATAAATGTGTCTGGGATGCTTAAGAGCCTGCCTAGGCCATGCCTCCACCCTCCAGACCCCAGTATCACATGAAAGAAACAAATTAGCATATGGAAGGTACTGCCCTGCCATCTTTTACAGACTCTTCCCTCCCTCCCTCCCAGCCCCGTCCACATATTCACTGACTAGGCCTGCCCCCTTGTGCATAGGTAAGGGAATTCAAGCCAAGCAAATGAGAATGCAGTCAGAGTTCTCTTGGAAGCACTTTTTCATGGCCAGGTGCAGTGGCTCACGCCTATAATCCCAGCAGGCTGAGGCAGGTGGATCACCTGAGGTCAGTTCAAGACCAGCCTGGCCAACATGATGAAACCCTACCTCTATTAAAAATACAGAAATTAGCCAGGCGTGGTGGTGACACCTATAATCCCAGCTACTCAGGAGGCTGAGGCAGGAAAATCGCTTGAACCTGAACCTGGGAGGTGGAGGTTGCAGTCAGCCAAGATTGTGCCACTACACTCCAGCCTGGGTGACAGTGAGACTCTGTCTCCAAAAAAAAAAAAAAACAAAACAGCACTGGTTCATGAAATGCTGGACTTGGGAATGCCAGGGATCAGTGGATTTGGATACTTGTCTGGATCCTCCGAGGGAAACCAACCTCTAAGACAGACCGAACCACCTCCTGTCGGCTCTGCTCCACCTCGCGGATCTGAGCTGCCATCTGTGGGAGAGAGGCTGCTTAGACAGGATCATGGGGGCCAGTTTCTTCAGAGGCCTTTCCTTTAACTCAGGGGCCCTCCACCCCCAGGCGTGGACCAGTACTGGTCTGTGGCCTGTCAGGAAGCAAGCTGCAACAGCACTGCTGCCTGAGCTCCTGTCAGATCAGTGGTGGCATTAAGATTCTCATAGGAGCGCAAACACTATTGTGAACTGGGCATGCAAAGTATCTAGGTTGCGCACTCCTTATGAGAATCTAATGCCTGATGATCTGAGGTGGAGCAGTCTCATTCTGAAACCATCCCCTGCCTGGGTCCATCTGGAAAAATCATCTTCCACGAAACCAGCCCCTGGTGCGAAAAAGGTGAGGGACTGCTGCTTTAACTTACCTCCTTGATCACCTCATCCTCCTTTTCTTCGTAGGAATCCAAACCTTTCACCATGGATTTCTTGAATCTAAAAAGAAAAGGGGCAAAACCGCCCAGAACCCATTCCCCACCAGTTATGAAAAGCTCCTCAGATTTTTTTTTTTTTAAATTTCGAGAAATTTCAAATTCAGAAACAAAACAGTATAATAAGCACCTATGTACCTCTCACCCAGAGTCATTGTAAACATTTTGCCACGCTGGCTCCATTTCTTTTGTACAGACACGTGTCCTCTTTGCCAAAACAAAAATAGGTTTAGATGTCAAACCAGATTTTCAGCACGTATCTCCCAAGAAGAGGAACATTCTATACAACCATGATACCATTATCACATCAAGAAAATTATTCTTTTTAGTGTTCAAGTATTTGGCTGGTTAGTATAGACATGGTTTATATGTCTTTACACTTGAGTGTAGACATACAGGCCAAAGTGGAAGGATTGCTTGAGCCCGGGAGTCTGAGACCAGCTCAGGTAACATAGTGACCCTGTCTATACAAAACATACAGAAATAGCCAGGTGTGACGGTGCACGCTTCTAGCCCCACCTACTTGGGAGGCTGGGGTGGGAGCATTGCTTGAGCCTGGGAGGTTGAGGCTGCAGTGAGCTGTCATTGTGTCATGGCACTCCAGCTTGGACAACAGAGCAAGACTCCATCTCAAAAAAAAAAAAAAAAAAAAGGCCGGGCGCAGTGGCTCACACCTGTAATCCCAGCAGTTTGGAAGGCCGAGGTGGGCAGATCACGAGGTCAGGAGTTTGAGAACAGCCTGACCAACATGCTGAAACCCATCTCTACTAAAAGTACAAAAACGAGCCGGGCGTGGTGGTGCGCACCTGTAATCCCAGCTACTCAGGAGGCTGAGGCAGGAGAATCACTTGACCGTGGGAGGCGGAGGTTGCAGTGTGCCAAGATCAGGTCATTGTACTCCAGCCTGGGTGACAGAGTGAGACTCCGTCTCAAAAAAAAAAGAAGCGAAAACTGTTCAGGCTGCTGGTATCTCCTGGCCACTGGCTGCCACTACAGTTCATTTATCTGGAACCTGGGCTCCTGAAGATGCAGCGCTGGAACAGAGAGATGATGCTGACAGGGTGTATTGGTCTGTTTTCACACTGCTGACTGATAAAGACATATCCAAGACAGGGTAATTTACAAAGAGAAAGAGGTTTAATGGACTTAAGAGTTCCATGTGGCTGGGGAGGCCTCACAATCACAGCAGAAGGTGAAAGGCATGTCTTACATGGTGACAGGCAAGACAGAATGAAAAACCAAGCAAAAGGGGAAACCCCTTACAAAATCGTCAGATCATGTGACTTACTACCATGAGAACAGTATGGGGGAAAATGCCCCCATGATTCAGTTATCTCCCACTGGGTCCCTCCTACAACATATAGGAATTACGGGAGATACAGTTCAAAAAAATTTGGGTGGGGACACAGCTAAACCTTATCACAGAGGTTGATGACTGACCCAGTCACATTAGAAACAGGTGGACTTAACCGGGCACAGTGGCTGACGCCTGTAATCCCAGCACTTTGGGTGGCTGAGGTGGGCAGATCACGAGGTCAAGAGATCGAGACCATCCTGGCCAACATGGTGAAACCCCATCTCTACTAAAAATACAAAAATTAGGCCAGGCGCGGTGGCTCACACCTGTAATTCCCACTTTGGGAGGCCGAGGCAGTCGGATCACGAGGTCAGGAGATCGAGACCATCCTGGCTAACACAGTGAAACCCCGTCTCTACTAAAAATACAAAAAATTAGCCGGGCATGGTGGCAGGTGCCTGTAGTCCCAGCTACTCGGGAGGCTGAGGCAGGAGAATGGCATGAACCCGGGAGGTGGATCTTGCAGTGAGCTGAGATTGCACCACTGTACTCCAGCCTGGTGACAGAATGAGACTCTGTCTCAAAAAAAAAAAAAAAAAAAATTCCAAAAATTAGTTTGGCGTGGTGGCCTGCGCCTGTAGTCCCAGCTACTCGGGAGAATCGCTTGAACCTGGGAGGTAGAGGTTGCAGTGAGCTGAGATCATGTCACTGCATTCCAGCCTGGCGAAAGAGCGAGACTCCATCTCAAAAACAAACAAACAAACAAAAATCCTGCCTACTCTGAAGGCTGAGGCAGGAGGATTGCTTGAGCCCAGACGTTTGAGGCTGCAGTGAGCCATGATTGTACCGCTGCACTCCAGCCTGGGTGACACAGCAAGACCCCGTCTCAAAAAAAAAAAAAGCATCTCAAATTATTTAACCAAATGGACTAAAAGCACATAATGATAATGGATAGTATAGACTGCCAGGTTTCTTTCCTTTACTTTGTGCGATTATCACCAGGAAATTTCTCTATGGGTCTCGTAATCCACAACACCTGAGTGTATCACATGAGTGAGCAGGACAATGAAGACACAGTGGAACACAACTGGACTTTCTATAGACTAACCTGGAAGGCAAGTATCTAATTTCCAAACCAGAAGTTCCTGGAAACTGAGTTCAAGGAAATAGAAGAAACTGATTTAAAAAAAACATTACACTGTGGTTGAAGTCCAGAAATTTCTAGGCGGCTGGCTGGGCACAGTGGGTCATCTGTAGTCCCAGCACTTTGGGAGGCTGAGGTGGGAGGACTGCCTGAGACCAGGAGTTTGAGACCAGAGGAAAAGAAAATGACAACGTGGAATTGTAAAAAAAAATTTTTTTTTTTTGAGACGGCGTCTCACTCTGTCGCCAGGCTGGTGTGCAGTGGTGCCATCTTGGCTCACTGCAACCTCTGCCTCCTGGGTTCAAGCGTTTCTCCTGTCTCAGCCTCCTGAGTACCTGGCACTACAGGCGCCTGCTGCCACACCTGGCTAATTTTTTAGAGACAGGGTTTCACCATGTTAGCCAGGATGGTCCCAATCTCCTGACCTCATGATCCTCCTGTCTTGGTCTCCCAAAGTGCTGGGATTACAGGCGTGAGCCACCGCGCCTGACCAAAAACTTTTATTTATTTGAGGACCAGAGAGAAGTTTTGTGCTTTAGCAGACTCCTCCATGTTTTCTTCTTTTCGCCCTGTTCAAACTCTCCAGGTACTGTTTTTTTTTTCTCTTTTTGAGACAGGGTCTTTTGCTCTGTTGCCCAAGCTAGAGTGCAGTGGCATGATCACAGCTCACTGCTGCCTCAACCTCGTGACCTTAAGCATTCCTCCTGCCTCAGCCTCCCCAGTAGCTAACACTACAGGCAAATGTCACCATGCTTGGCTAATACAATTTTTTTTTTAGAGATGGGGTTTTGCTATGTTGTCCAGGCTGGTTTTAAACTCCTGGGCTCAAATGATCCTCTGTCTCAGCCTCCAAAAGTGCTGGAATTATAGTCATGAGCTACTGCAACTGAATTGCCCTTTTTTTTTTTAAGAGACATTCTTGCTGTGTTGCCCAGACTGGAGTGTAGTGGTGGGATCACAGCTGACTGCAGCTTCAACCTCCTGGGCTCAGGTGATCCTCCTGCCTTGGCCTCCAGAGTAAGTATGACTATAGGCTAGCCTTCAAAGCAGGTAGGACTATATACCCCACTAATCCACTAATCCAGATACCCTTTTTATTAAAAATCTGAAAATCAGGCCGGGCCCAGTGGCTCATGCCTGTAATCCCAGCACTTTGGGAGGACAAGGTGGGCAGATCATGAGGTCAGGAGTTCAAGACCAGCCTGGCCAATATGGTGAAACCCCGTCTCTACTACAAATACATATTAGCCAGGCATGGTGGTGTGTGCCTATAGTCCCAGCTACTCGGGAGGCTAAGGCAGAAGAATTGCTTGAACCTAGGAGGCGGAGGTTGCAGTAAGCTGAGATCGCGCCACTGCACTCCAGCTTGGGCAACAGAGCGAGACTCTGTTCCAAAAAAAAAAAAAGGTCTGAAAATCATTATGGTATGTAATCTATCCTTATTATAGTGCTAAAATGATTTCTGATAAAATAGTTCCTAACTCAACTAGAACACTATGAAGAATGAAAGAATGAGCAGAGTACTCATGATGCCTTTGAGTAAAATCGAAACATACAGCATGATCTAATTTCCAAACCAATAGGCAGTATTGTAATATTAAAGGAAAACTATTCCAATCACTTAGAAATACTTGCTAAGTACTGCTTTTTATAGTTATGACAACTGTTTTTTCTATGCATATGAATCAAGCAACCAAATATTTATAACCATGGAAATACCTGATTAGAAATATTTCTAACCTGGGCCAGGCTCGGTGGCTCACGCCTATAATCCCAGCACTTTGGGAGGCCGAGGCGGGCGGATCAGCTGAGGTCGGGAGTTCAAGACCAGCCTGAGCAATATGGTAAAACCCCATCTCTACTAAAATTACAAGAATTAGCTGGGCGTGGCCGGGCGCGGTGGCTCAAGCCTGTAATCCCAGCACTTTGGGAGGCCGAGACGGGCGGATCATGAGGTCAGGAGATCGAGACCATCCTGGCTAACACGGTGAAACCCTGTCTCTACTAAAAAAATACAAAAAACTAGCCGGGGCGAGGTGGCAGGCGCTGTAGTCCCAGTACTCGGGAGGCTGAGGCAGGAAATGGCGTAAACCCGGGAGGCGGAGCTGGCAGTGAGCTGGAGATCCGGCCACTGTACTCCAGCCTGGGCGACAGAGCGAGACTCCGTCTCAAAAAAAAAAAAATTAGCTGGGCGTGGTGGTGTGGGCCTGTAGTTCCAGCTACTCAGGAGACTGAGGCAAGAGAATCGCTTGAACTCAGGAGGTGGAGGCTGCAGTGAGCCAAGATCATGCCACTCCAGCCTGGGCAACAGAACAAGACTCTGTCTACAAAAAAAAGAGAAAAAAGGAAATATTTCTAATTATTGGCCAGGTGCAGTGGCTCACACCTGTAATCCAGCACTTTGGGAAGCACAGTCGGGTAGATCATTTGAGGTCAGGAGTTTTGTGACCAGCTCGGCCAACATGGTGAGAGCTGTCTCTACAAAAAAATACAAAAAATTAGCCCCTTTTCACAAGATGGCCACCAAAAGCTAAGAAGGAAGCTTCTGCCCCTCCTAAACCAAAGCGAAGGGGTCTGAAGGCCAAGAAGGCAGTGTTGAAAGGTGTTTACAGCCACAAAAAAAAATCTGCACATCACAGCCTTCCCAAGACTGGTCTTCCCAAGACACTGCGACTCTGGAGGCAGTGCAAACATCCTCAGAAGAGCACCTCCAGGAGAAACAAGCTTGACCACTATGCTATTTATCAAGTTTCCGTCTAACCACTGAGTGTCCCATGAAGAAGACAGAAGACAACACACTTGTGTTTCATGGTGAATGTTAAAGCCAGAAAGCACTGAAGAAGCTCTATGACACTGATGTGGCCAAGGTCAACACCCTGATTCGGCCTCATGGAGAGAAGAAGGCGTATGTTTGACTGGCTCCTGATTACAATGCTTTGGATGTTGCCAACAAAATAGGGATCATCTCAACTGAATGCAGTTGGCTAATTCTAAATATATGTATATTCTTTTCACCAGTAAAAAAAAAATACTAATAAATTATCAAGGCCTGGTGCGTCATGCCTGTAAATCCCGGCTACTCAGGAGCCTGAGTCAGGAGAATTGCTTGAACCCGGGAGGCAGAGGTTGCAGTGAGCCGAGATCACACACCTGCCCTCCAGCCTGGACAACAGAGTGAGACTCCATCTCAAAAAAAACCCGAAATATTTCTTTTGATTCGAATGAAAATTTTCCTATGGGGAGAAATCTTACTTCTTAGCCTGTTACAGTATAATTCCCAAATGTACCATCAGAAAAAAGAAAAAAAAGACCTTATTTTAAAAGTATACATAGGAAATCTTTTTTCTAGGCGCTGGGTGGTGGTGGCTCACTGCGTGTATTCGCTTAGCATTTATGGAAGCATGAGTCAGGTGGATCACTTGAGCTCAGAGTTCCAAGACAGGCCTGGCAACACTTTGCAGACCCCTCTCTACTAAAATACAAAAATTAGCTGCGGTATAGTGGCACGAGCCTGTAATCCAAGCATACATTGGCAAGCTGAGATGGGGAGAATCTGGCTTGAACCTGGGAGGTGGAGGTTCCGTGCAGGTGAGCCTGAGATTACCGCCACTGGCTCCAGCCCTGGGTGACAGAGTGAGACGCGCGCGAGAGAAAAGAAACATCTTTTTTCTATTCCATTCACCCGTCTAGAACATTTTTACTGACCCAACAAACGGATCACACCCAACTGGTTACACTAACTGCATTGTGATCAGTTTCTTGTTTCCTTTGTTTTTTTTTTGAGCGCAGTTTTTTGCTCTTGTTGCCCAGGCACTGAGTAGCAATGACTGGCACATCGTCGAAGCCTCAGTGCAATCTCTTGGGGGTGCGACTCCGACTCAAGCGATTCATCGCTGTCTCAGCAGCCTCCCGAGTGCCTGGGATTACAGCATCGAAACCCCATGCCCAGCTATTTTTTTGTATTTTTAGTAGAGGTGAGGGTTCACCATATTCGAACCAGGCTGGATCTCGAGAACGTCGAATCCTGACTCTCAAGGATCCCTCCTGCGATTCACAGGCCCTCTCAAAAGTGGCTGGGTTACAAGTGTGAGCCACAGTGCCCCGGCCATGTGATCAGTTGATTAAACTTCTCTAAAAAGACAAATTCATATTTCATTTTTAGAGATTGGGGCCTTGGATACATTGCCCCAGGCCTGGCTCAAATTCCTGAGCTCAAGCTATGCCTCTACCTCAGCCTCCTGAAGATACTAGGACTAACATGTTTAGCCCCAACATCCTGGCAGTTCTCATTAGTTTCCCTTGATTATCTTTAGCATTCCTTTTTGGAAAACAATAAGCGATTACAGATTCACTTTTGCACAGCGCAGTTCGAAACTGCACAAGTTCACTTGAAAAAGTTGTGGACGATTGCAAAAAAAATAATTTGAGAAAAACAGATGAACCACCATAGTCTAGAAATACGAAAAAAATTAAGACAAAAAGTATGTCATGAATGCATAATAATATTATGTAGATACTAGTGCCTTTTATTCTGTACTACCTATAAAAATAACAACAATCCAGGCTGAAACAGGAGACCGCTTGAAACCTGGGAGCAGAGGTTGCAGTAAGCCGAGATGGGCAACCGACTGACTCCACCTCGGGTGGACAGAGCAAAACGCCCTCCTTCCAAAAAAAAAAAAAAAAAGTTAAAATCTATCAAAACTTACACACAGAAACACAGACTGTACATGGTGACATTCGCAGTCAAGAGAAATGAAAATAAATGTAAAGATGCAATATTACATAACTGCATAAAATTACACTCCAAACTGTACAACTGTCACAATTTTGTAGCCACCTATTGCAGTGAACTCAAGTGTTGTGAGTATCTGCTTAAAACACAGTAATGCTGGTCATCTTGTAAGCAGTTGTCTCACCAGTAAATTGCATATTACAGTGAAAGTGATCACTCATGGTTCCTGCATATTTTTCAGTAATGTCATACCATTAACCTTGAATAGTACGGTGGACTTATAGGAGGCGCCACTTGTATGGCCTGAAGCGCTCCAAGAAGCGAGGAAAGTCATGACATTACAAGAAAAGCTGTTGTTTGATAAGTACTGTAGATTAAGATCTACAGCTGCAGTTGCCCGAGATTTCAAGATAAATGAATCCATACACATTGACAAACCCATGTGGAAAAAAAGGGTGAGGGTGGAGCATGGTGGGCTCACTTTGAAAGGCTGAGGTAGCGATGCTTGACCCAGGGTTCGAGACCGCCTGGGCAACATAGCAAAACCCCGTCTCAATTTAAAAAAGAATTTTTTTTTTTTTTTCTTTTGAGACAGTTTATTTTCTGCCAGGCTGGAGGTGAAGTGGTGCGATCTTGGTCACTGCAACCTCTGCCTCGCAGTTCAAGCAATTCTCCTTCCTCAGCCTCCCTGAGTAGCTGGGATTATAGCACCCACCACACACCAGCTATTTTTGTATTTAGTAGAGATGGTTTTGCATGTTGGCCAGGTTGGTCTTCAAATCCTGACTTTCATGAGCCACCATGCCCGCCCCCCAAAATTTTTTGGTCTAAAGGCAAAGAAAATAACTAAATCCAGCTAAGGAACACTGTAAAAAAAATAGAGAAATTCATGAAGCATCACTGGCACCTTGCATGCTTTGCACATACCTTTTGTCTTCATATTGAGCACAGCTTTTATGGTGGGTACAGGGTTGTTAGAAAAGGCCTACCTACAGCTTCTAATGGTCAGAAAAGCAATACTTACATGACAAGCAAAAGGAAGTGAGGATCTAAGGCTGGAGAATTTAATGCCAACAAAAGGATGGTTTGATACTTTAAAAGGAATTTTGGTTAAATTGTCAAACAGGCAGGGAAGGGGGGCAGTTCTTGCAACAGAGGGCAAGCAGATTGAATTCGCCAGATTACCTTAAGAAAATACTGAGGACCAGGCGTGATGGCTTCCACTATAATTCCAGCATTGGGAGCCCAAAGCGGGTGGATCACAAGTCAGGAGTTAGTGACACCTTGGGCCCAACATGGTGAAACCCCTCTCTACTACAAAATCAAAATAGGCCATCGGTTGTGGTTGTGTGCGCCATGTTAATCCCAGTCTTGAGGGCTGGAGGCGGGAATCATTTGAACCCAGGAGGTGGAGGTTGCAGTGAGCTGAGATTGTGCCATTGCACTCCAGCCTGGGCAAAAAGAGCAAAACTGTGTCTCAAAAAAAATAAAATAGAGTTCAAAACTATTAAAAGTAGGTACTGGCTGAACAGCAGTTTCTTACAAACTATAAACAGCCTTTCTAACGTTAGTATTCTCTGTGCCTCACATTTAAGTAGTTGACAATAGCCAACTTTTAGTATTGTTCTCTATTTGCTAAATCCCATCCCCCAACCAAACCTCAAGAACTGTCACATTTTTGTGTCCAACATAGTACCTAGAATAAGAAGCGCTATGAAGACAGTAGATACTTCGGAAGTCCCTCCTGAACTTTCCAGTTAATAGAGTAAGCTCCCATACCTGACAAAGATCCAGAGAATTCACTCTGCTACTTCATGTTCAATACCAGTGACTCACCGTACATAATCCTGGGGAGTGACCAGAAACTTCTCTTTCATTTGGATCTCAGCTTTGTTCTCCCACCAGAATTTGTTGGTTGCTTTCTTGTGCTCAGGGCTGAAAATGGAGAGGATAAGTAATCTCAGCTATAGATTATAAAATATTACTCAGATATTAAGCATTAGGTTTGTAATGCAAACTGACATCTGGGTTTCTGCCCGGGGCAGGGCTGAGAGAGGAACACTGTTACCATCTCTTCAAGATCCCGTGTCTCTTCTTCCCATAAAATTGTGAGAATCTAAGGGGAGGTTAGGGGCGGTAACCAAGTTGGCTTTCGCAGCCAGACCACCAGCACCACTTGGGACCGTGGCAGCATAGGACCCCTACCCTAAAAAGGCTGGCAGCACCTGTGAAGTGACTCAATCCATCCATCTTGATCAAATCACAAAAGCGTTCTTTTTGTCACCCACTCCAAACCCTCCTCCCGTATATGTATGCGTCTGTGCTGGAGCAGGCACCCAGTTCGGCTCTCACCTGGCCAGATGCTCCAGCAGCCCCCCGTACAGCACCGTCAGGTTTCCATGGCTCAGGTGTTCCCGCACTTCACAGCCGCAGCACAGGCACCAGCAGCATCGCTCGTGTTCCGGCACGTAGCGCTCCACCTGAGCGGCGCGGATGGCCTTGCGGGCCGCCTCCACCTGCGGGAGAGAGACGAAGTAGAACCCCAAGGGGGGCACCCAAATCAACCCGCTCTGGCCTTCACCGACCTGCCCCGCACTCCCATCCCATCTCTAGCCTTGCCGCCGCACCTGGGGCAGGAGCCTCTCCAAAGCCTCCTTCAGCTGCCGCTGGTGCTTGCGGCTGTAGACGTGCCCGCGACCACAGAAGAAGGTCTGGCGGCACAGACGGCAGCGCTGCGCCGGCGCCATAGGCGGGGGACCCGGTATCACCACCACCAGCAGCTGATCCTACGCCATCCGGCGGCCCCTGACCCCTGACCTCTGACCCTTCGGGGCGGGGCTAACCCAGCGGCCCCCAAGCGCCCAGCAGGCGCCACTGCAAGCCCTTCTGCGGCTGCGCAGACTCCTCCCAGGCCTCTGGTCCCGCCCAGGCACCAGCATTCCAGAGTCCGGCCGGTTAAGGGGGAAGGCGGCGCCATCCTGCAGATGTGCGGGGACTTGCGCCCTCCGCAGCGTGAGGCTCACAGGCCACACGCAACTCGGCATTGGCCAGGACCTGTAGTAGCCAACAGGACACTTAATAACTGATGTATAGGTGCGCACTGTGTGTCCAGAGCTTTACGTTAACCACCTCACTGTGTCATCTCGCTGAGGTTGTGTGGTTTACTACTGTTAGCGCATTTTTAAGCGGGAAACCTGAGGCATGAGGAGGTAAGGAGCTTTGAGGAGGGTTGCACAGGTGTTAAGTAGCACGGTCAGCACCTGAGCCCCGGCACTCATCAGTGCGGCGGATGGAGGGGAATGCCTGCTGGAGGGGACCACGAACTAAAAATCGTAGTCGCCCCCACAGGGTGTGCTCGCCGTGGCTCCTATAAAGCTGTAAGGGAAGCTACACAGTCTGCAGCGTCGTTGCTGAGGGATCGCACAGTTCCCGTAGATTTTGCTGCTAGTTCTGGTGCACTAACCTGGATGGACTACTGTCTGTAGGGCCTGCACAGGGTCAGCGCTACAGAATTCAGGCCCGGCGTAACTACTTCCCCCTTCAGATCTTCACTTCCTGTTGGAACTGTCCTCTAGACTCTAGCCTCTGCCAGAAATAATTCATTTTGAATATCCTTGTAACTCCCAATTCCTTGATCTCCCATCATTCTCCTGGCAGGGTCAGTCCTCGGCCTTGTCCCCCCAAATTGCTCCGTCTCTGAATCCAGACTCTGAAGTTCGGCTCTGCCTACCTAACCTTAAGTTATCCCATGTGGCCTTACCATCAGCCTAGTCTTTGACTGCAGGGAAACCTCTCTTCCTAAAGAAGACACCTCTTTTCATCCATTCACTCTGGAAATGATTCAATGTCTGCCTGCTGCTGATGCTTTGCTCTCCACCAGGGGTTTTCAAAGTGTGCTTCCCTGCTCCCCCCGGGCCTAGAGCATCAGCATCAGGGAATTTGTCAGTAATGCACATTCTTGGGCCCCAACCCAGAACTACTGAATCAGAAACTTGGGGTGAGGGCCGGTCACGGTGGCTTATGCCTGTAATCTCAACACTTTGGGAAGCAGAGGAGGGCGAATCACCTGAGGTCAGGAGTTGAGGACCAGCCTGGCCAACATGGTGAAACCCTGTCTCTACTAAAAATAGAAAAATTAGCCAGATGTGGTGGCGTGTGCCCATAATCCCAGCTACTTGGGAGACTGAGGCAGGAGACTCACTTGAACCCAAGAGGTAGAGGTTGCAGTGAGCCAAGATTGCACCACTGCACTCTAGCCTGGGCAACAGAGTGAGGCTCCGTCTCAAAAAAAAAAAAAAAAAAAGGAACTCAGGGTGACGCCCAGCCAGCTGTGGTTTTATGAGCTCTTCAGGGGATAGTGATGCGTGATCAAATTTGAGAAGCACTGGTCTAGGTCTTAGATCCTCTTGGTTCACTTTCCTCATTGGATCTCAGGAATGTTCAGCTATACTCTCAGGGCAACTTCTCACTTCACTTGACTTTCCAAGACCTCTCGTTCTGTCAAACCCCAATTTTGGATCAACCCACGCATCCTTCCCTCATGTGTTCCAAAGCTGGTCAGAGTAGTCTACACTACTATCTGCTTCAACTTCTGGTAACGTCTAAGCCTTCAACAGTTTTGCTTGTGAAACTGCTTCACTGAAGTTCTCCACCACCAAGTAGTCAGCTGGCATCAGAATTCGGCTTGTGTCAAATGGAACTCAACATCTTCCTCTTCAGGACATCCCCTATTTTCATCCTCCCGGTGAATGACACCACCAAGTTAAAGCCTGGAGGCTGCGTGTGCTGGCCATGCCTGTAATCCCAGCAGTTTAGGAAACTGAGGTGGGCAGATGGCTTGTGCCCAGGCGTTTGGGAGCAGCCTGGCCAACATGGCGAAACCCTGTCTCTACAAAAAAATACTGCTGGGCACAGTGGCTCACACCTGTAATCCCAGCACTTTGGGAGACTAAGTGGGCAGATCACCTCAGGTCAGGAGTTTGAGACCAGGCTGGCCAACATGGCAAAACCCCATCTCTACTAAAAATACAAAAATTAGCCTGGTGGGGTGGCATGTGTCTGTAGTCCCAGCTACTCGAGAGGCTGAGGCAGGGGAGCTGCTTGAACCCAGGGGGTTGCAGTAAGCCAAGATAGTGCCACTGCACTCCAGCCTGGTCTACAGAGCCAGACTCTGTCTCAAAAGAACAAACAGGCCAGGCATGGTGGTTTACGCCTGTAATCCCAGCACTTTGGGAGGAAAGGTGGGCGGATCACCTGAGGTCAGGATTTCGAGACCAGCCTGGCCAACATGGTGCAACCCCGTCTCTACTAAAAATACAAAAATTAGCCAGGCATGGTGGAGGGTGCCTATAATCTCAACTATTCCGGAGGCTAAGACAAGAGAATCGCTGGAACATGGGAGGCAGAGACTGCAGTGAGCCTGTCGCGCCACTGCACTCCAGCCTGGGCAACAGAGCAAGACTCTTATCTCAAACAAAAACAAACAAACACAAAACAAAAATTAGCTGGGCCTGGTGGCATATGCCTATAGTCCCAGCTACTTGGGGGACTGAGGCAGGAGGATTGCTTGAGCCTGGGAGGTTGAGGCTGCAGCAATGAGCTGTATTTGTGCTACTGCACTCTAGCCTGGATAACAAAATGAGACCTTGTCTCAAAAAACAAAAAAAAAAGCCGGGTGCCGTGGCTCACACCTGTAATCCCAGCACTTTGGGAGGCCGAAGCAGGTGGATCACAAGGTCAGGAGATGGAGACCATCCCAATATTGCGCCACTGCACTCCAGCCTGCCAGCCTGGGCAACAGAGCGAGATTCCATCTCAAAAAAAAAGAATAACTCACCCCAAACTTCCAGGCTTTTTTTTTTTTTTTTTTCCTTTGAGACGGAGTTTCACTCTGTCACCCAGGCTGGAGTGCAGTGGTTAGATCTCGGCTCACTGCAACCTCCGCTTCCTGGGTTCAAGTGATTCTCCTGTCTCCGCCTCCTGAGTAGCTGGGATTACAGGTGTGTGCCACCACGCCTGGCTAAGTTTAGTGTTTCTAGTAGAGACAGGGTTTCACTGTGTTGGTAATGCTGGTCTCAAACTCCTGACCTCAGGTGATCCACCTGCCTCGGCCTCCCAAGGTGCTGGGATTACAGGCGTAAAACTCCCATGCTGGGCTGGTCAAAGTGCTGGGATTACAGGCATAAGACAATGCACCTGGAACTTGGCTTGTGTCAAATGGAACTCAACATCTTCCCTTTTACTCAACCCCACCAACATCCACCACACACAAGTTGTCTTATTCACTGGACTTCTAATATGTTTAAGGGGTCTGTCTCCATTTATTTTTTGAAACAGGGTCTTTCTGTGTTGCCCAGGCTGGAGTGCAGTGGTTGTTCACAGGGGCCAACCTACTATTGATCAGCAAGGGAGCTTTGGAGTTTTTAAAAAAATTTTTTAAGCCAGTCAAATTTAGCAGTGGCGGGTTGTATACCAACTTTAGTGACACTAATGTTATTAAATTCTAATAACCCACTACCATCAGACCAGCCCAGCATGGGAGTTTTGACCTGCTCCATTTCCGACCTGGGCTGTTTCACCCCTCCATAGACAACCTGGATGGTCCCCTGTCCTGGGAGTTCACCATATTGATGCTAAATTTAGTGTGGACACCCAAACTGCATAATGCATTACAGTGTAGAACTCCTGGGCTCAAGGGATCCTCCCACCTCAGCCTCCTGAGTAGCTAGGACCACAGGGTACACCATGGTGCCCAGATGTCTTCCTTTTTTTTTTTGAGACGGAGCCTCACTCAGCTGTTCAAGCTAGAGTGCAATGGTGCGATCTCCGTTCACTGCAACCACCGTCTCCTGGGTTCAAGCAATTCTCCTGTCTCAGCCTCCTGAGTAGCGGGGATTACAGGCACCCACCATCATGCCCGGCTAATTTTTGTATTTTAGTAGAGATAGGGTTTTACTGTGTCGGCCAAGCTAGTTTTTAACTCCTGACCTCAGGTGATCTGCCTGCCTTGGCCTCCCAAAGTGCTAGGATTACAGGCGTGAGCCACCACGCCCAGCTCCCTACCCTTAAAAAAAGAAAATCTATATATGTATAATAGAGACAGGGTCGCGCTATATTGCCCAGGCTGGTCTTGAACTCCTGGGCTCAAGGGATCCTCCTGCCTCGGCATCCAAAAGTGCTGGGATTACGGGCATGGGCTACCGCACCCTATCTTACATTTTTTTAAACTCAGAGCATACCTCATTTCAATTCTCCTCCTCTCTTGCTTTGGTTCACATAAAATCTTTCTAACTGGTTTCCAAGTGTCTGCTCTTACGCTCCATATATCCTCCACACTCTAGTCTGCTCCTACGAGCTTCAGCATCTTCAGCTCCTCTGCCTGGAATTTACATCTTTCCAATCCTGCCTTACAAATTTTCTATTATATAAGGCTCTGAATTATGAACTAGAAGTAATTTCCATGAAGCTGATGACTTTATATTGCATATGGTAAGCTCTAAATCAATGTTTATTGAAAGAATGAAATGTCACCCCTTTGTGAAGCCTTCCAGAGTTGTCTCTGAAGAATTAATTCCTCAACTTCAAGATCCTTTGCTCATTCTGTCATCATTTTTGTCTAGCAGTTAGTTGAAAACCAATAATTGAAAAGCTCCTCGGCCGGGCACGGTGGCTCACGCCTGTAATCCCAGCACTATGGGAGGCGGAGGCGGGCGGATCACGAGGTCAGCAGATCGAGACCATCCTGGCTAACACGGTGAAACCTTGTCTCCACTAAAAATACCAAAAATTAGCTGGGTATGGTGGTGGGCACCTATAG